TTAGTACATCTATATATATATATATATATATATATACAAATTTTCTGAATATGAAATTTGGTACGTGCCATCTTCTCATTGGGGCGCACCTATAAAAAATATTAACAATAATTTTTCGATAAAATATAATAACCAAAATACCCCTTGAAACTTTCAGGGGTATTTTGATTATTTTATTTTATTGAAATAAATTTTTTATATTTTTTCGTTAGTGCGAGTTTAATAGAGGAATGGACGTCCAAAATTTGGTGTCCAAATAGCTTATAGAAAAAAAATTTAAAATAAAACATGACATTGTGATTGGAGCAATCTTAGCTTTCCATTAAAAATGGATGGTTGGATAAGGGGGAGGATAAAACTTTTATGTTCCATGAGAAGCAAGGTGGTCTTTACTGCCTTTTACATAGACTAATGATATTTAAAGAATCTCCTTCAATTCAAGCTCTTTGCTAATTTGCAAATAGCAACTTGGGTTGGGTAGCGCTGGTTATGGGCTGGCCGGACACGGTCCGACCTTGAAAAAGTAGGTCATAGGCCACAAAATGTGGCCTGAGGACCAGGCTACCCCAGCCTGAGAGCTGGGCCTGAAATAGGGCTCGACAGGGTTGGCTTGGGGCTGGCCCTCTTTTTCCTTACTTATGCCAACATTCTTAGCATAAAGCTTACCTTTCCCACAATCACAATAGGAACCTTGCTTTGATCTAGTGGCTTTAGGTCGTAGTGGCAGGGAGTCTTGATTATTTTGGGATATTTCAGAACCATGATATCTTCTTCTATAGAAAGATCTCCCACCAGAGTTAGTTAATAAAGCCTCATTACAGCCCTCCTCTTTCTTGGATCCACTTTTTTACTCCAATTTTCCTCTTTAAAGAATTGCTTCTTCATGAATCAATAGTTTATAGCCTCTTCTATATGTGGCTGGCTGTCTTGGTATTTGAGTCAACACCAGTCCGATTTTTCAGGATGAAGGCGACTCGGGTTACCATTCTTATCTTAATGTGAATCACTTCTAATTGATCAAAAAGAACTTTCACCCAGAGGAAACTCAGTTATGGAGCCATTGTGTTGCTTACATGCTTGTAGCTCGACTTCAAAGAATATATTCTCGTGCCGCTCACCTATTCATGCACAATGGTGATCGATCCCAGACTACTTTTGCCCTGGTTGACAGAAGATTTGGATTACGTGTAGAGCCTTTCCTCTCCACTTTTCCATTGGTTACATCGCATAGGCCGAGCCCTAGAAAGTAGATTTAAGCCACGCCTTCCAATTCTCATGGTTCTTCTTCCAATTCTTATAGTTCTTCTCATGAAGAACTTTGGAAGCAATGGCACTCGATATTTATAGGCCAGAGTTTCTTTTGAGTTTGACTACTACAGTGAAAAGCATCTTACAATGAAACTTACTATGCCTTTGGCTTTGAGAGAATGAAGTGTCTGTACAACAGAGTTCAAGCAGTATATTAAACCTCCATCAGAGTTCACTCTCTGAACCTCAGTTTGCTCTAGACATTTGAGGAAATCCTAACCAAGGTGAAAATCACTCAGATGCAAACTTCGCGTGTAAATGCAACAAAGAGAACAGAGGAAACCTGAACCAAGGTGAAAATATCACCTACATTACAACCTCCAAATTCAATGGCCTAGCTTTGGTACCATGTTGTATATAAAAAGGTCATTAGAAGCTGTCAATGGTGATAGGGCAATCTTGATGATGCTCATGGGAAAAAAATTGAGAGAGAGAAGCAAACTCAAACGCATGATCTGTGGACTTCTATCACACTCCACTCTCAATCTGACAGTGTCTTCGAACCAGTTAAATCAATACCTATCCAATATGGGACTTCCAGAAGGAACCAGCATTCCTATTCCTAATGAACTTCTAAGCACTTTATAGTGCTCATGTTCAACATCTCTCTCCTTTCTCCCTTTGTGCAAGATAGAGGTAGCTTGTGCAAGATAGAGGTAGCATAAGATGTAAGCTTTATATTATTTGATGCAGGTGTACAAGCACATTGTTTGTGACATTCCTCAACTGTGACAGATTACTAGCACACTATGTCATCGATAAGGTATTTAGAAATTGGACAGGAGTCCCAGAAATTCACTGCATGAGTGATTTTTATCTTGGACTGCATTGAATAGAATATTTGTCTTCAAAAACCTTCAATCAGCAAAGCTAGAGGGGGTTTATATTGGATAACTCTAGAAAAGATCATCTTGTTTAGGGACTAAGCAAGGACGTCATAGAAAGAGAAGCAGTGGTCACCTCTTAAAGGCTTGGAACAATCTAAAGAATTCGATTGAAGGCAAAGGTTCAGGTCGTAAAATCGTAGAAAGAGAAGCTGTGGTCACCTCTTAAAGGCTTGAAACAATCTAAAGAATTCGATTGAAGCCAAAGGTTCAGGTTGTAAAAGATCGGACAATTGGCCTCTCATATTATGGATTTTCGTGTCGAGAAGTTGGAAGGGTTATGCATTGCCACGTACAAGTTAGATGATGCCAAAATGAGAAAACTGCCTTGGAGGTAAGGATCAAAACCCTGTAACCACATGATGGGGATTGAGGTCCATGGGGTTTCATGTTAGTTGAAATTTTGTTAGGGAACCTTAAGCAGTCACTAATTGAACACAATGGAGGACAATACTCTTTTTGTATGACATTTGAAGTAACCATGTAACAAGGGGATACCATGGGATATTGATAACATCAATTGGGTATAATATAAGAACCTTTATTTTTATACCTAAATATTTTATCCCTAAACTCCTACCCATTGAAGTATTGTCATAAGATTCGATAAAGTTTATTTTGGACTTTTTGACCATTCAAGGACATCTCCAACCATCCCATCCCATTTCAAATCTAATGATCGATGATGATTGTGACTATCTTATACCAAAAAATAAATTAGCTCGTATATATTCCCACATCAATTGGAACATTGGTTATACTCAGCACATTTTGGACCTTTCTTTATGTCTATGCTTTGGGACTACTTTTACTTGATGAAATCTTCTGCACACCTACTCGGTACGCGACCTCCTTGCTCTCCACAGTGCTCAAAATCTAATTCCTGTTTGGTTCCTTTTCACTTCATTATGATAAAGGGAGATACAATAATAAACGAAAAAATTAAAGTTTGAGAAAAAATATCCTGTGAAAGTTTACGAATGAATCCACCCAAAAATATCTTTTCATGAGAACTTTATTCATTTTCTTACAAAGAGGGACCTTTTCCCTTTAAATACAATTGAAATAAATAAATAAAAACACATTTATCTCTCCTTCTAAAACTCCTTTCTTTCCTAAAAAAGATAATCTTTCTAATTATATGTTTATCAAAAGTTTGATTTCTAACTAAAAGATTAACTTTCTAAAGTTTAGAACATATCACCTAAGTTAGTCATTCCTATATCTACCAGATAACTCCTAAAATTCTAAAATAAATATCCTTTTTACCCCTCAAATCTCCACAAAAAAGAACAAAAACAAAAAAACCTAATTTTTATTTACATCACATAAGCTCCTCAGTCAGTTTTTTTGGGTGTTCATTCAAACCATGAGTGACCAAGGCGAATCGGCAGTAGGAACATAGCTGCCTTGTCCTCACTTTGTTTTTTAGCTCCATAAGTATCATTGGCTACCCTTTATCAGTCCATTAAGAATCTAAAGAGTCCTGACGGACATGTGCTAAGTCTCTATGCTTGACACTTCTATACTTCGTTGATTTGGAAGATTAATTTGGACATGTTTAATCTTAATTTTTCATTTAACTGATTCCCTATACTTTGGGAAAAGCATATTGCTGTTACCCTTGAACCTTTGGCCAACCTGTTGAAAATTTTGAGAAGTTAAATGGGAAAAGCATATTGCTGTTACCCTTAAACCTTTGGCCAACCTGTTGAAAATTTTGAGAAGTTAAATGGGAAAAGCATATTGCTGTTACCCGTTGAAAATTTTGAGAGGTTAAATAGACGACAATGATGCCTTCCTGGAGCTTCAACTTTTTGAAAGTTTTCATGATAATTTTTTTTATAGGTATGGAATTCATTATCTTCATTACCCTAAAGGACAAATTAAAAAATTTTACAGATTTATTTTCTAAACTTTGATAGTGAGAAGTGAATCCGAAAAGATGCACTAAAATGGTTTAGAAATGCAAAGATGCTCTAAATTGGATTTTAATTTGTACTATTATCACCAGAATGACACCTGGTTTCAAAAATAAAAAATTTGAAGAACATTAACCCAACGATGAACAGAGAAAATCATTTGGACATTGTACAATTAAGTATCATGGTTTTGTTGGGATTAGCTTTTATTGCTTGATAGTCCTCAACTGCAACTGCTCTCTCTTTCTCTCCCCCCCAAACCAAAGAAAAAAACACCACCACGGTAAACAGCAAACCCTGACTACTGCTTATAACAAAAAAATTTGTTTTGCGCACTTGTGTTGCAATGGGTACACTGCAGAAGTCGAGTGCATTATGCCTCAGACTCACCTTTCTTTAGCCTTTCCACCATCTCATCTCTATCGATAAAGCGATCAAGTACATCTCCATCAGGAACTATGCAATCTTCAGCTCGCCCAAACCATTCATATCGATGCTTCGCGATATAATCATAGATAATGTCCCTTACTGGAGTAGGGACTACCAAAAAGATGCTTAGTGCAGAATAAGGGAGTGGCAAGTAGGACAAAACTTTCAGTGCCGCTGCAACCATTTACAATCAAGTGTTAAGTTGCATTCTGAAACACAACCTTCAATTGTGATACTAGAGTTGGAAGTAAGAAAATAAATGGTAGAGCAGAAATTCTTATGCGTTTATTGTATGACAAACAATTTATGAAATTTGCTTATTTTCATAGTGAAGCTAGGAGACTTAGGTGTTAGTGCTCCTGCTCAAATCCATTGAGATCTCTTCAAGATGAAGTACAACAGATAGAAGGATACAGCCTAATACTCAATGTTGCATGTCATCATGATCTACAATAAGGAACTCCGTCATAATAGAGACAAAAGAAAACACAACCAAAGCAATCAACTCCCTAGACTACCCAGAAAGCAAATTAAATAAACAAATGATTTACCATCTAAATGAGAGCAAATTAAATAAAGAAAGCCTCTGTGTAGTTGTATAGGAGGACCAAGGTTCAAGAGAGCAGATGAATAATTCTCTATTGGAAGAGAAGTCTCACTTAATTATAGAAATCATGCTTATCTAAAAATATGATTATAAACCACAAAAGAGACGCAACGAGAGCAGGAAATTACTGAAAAACGTAATGAAATGAAATGAAATATTTGCCATCTTAAGTATATTTCCAGGAACATTTTCTTTTTTGAATATTTATGCTTGGTAGAGATCTAAGTGGACAAGACTGAAGAAACACAAGAGAGACGCAAGCAAGCAACGACAGTGAGAAATGTGCAGAAAAGATGGAAAGTATGTGAAGACAGTTCAACTGTAATGGTGATATTCTGTAGAAGCCTACACAGAGCCTATGACACATCACATTAACGTCATTGTCGATTAATCCATACATGCATGTCAGAGTATAATACAAAAACATTACGTGGCTTTATCAATCCTCTAGCTACAGATATCTTTGGCTATCAACCCGACCACTACGTGTGTATTAAAATCAACAACCAGTTCTTCAGAAAGAAAGATTCAACTGAATAAATAAAACTAACTCTCCTACTGAAGAGGGCATTGAAATCATATAGGGGGCTTCATGGAAAAGAATATTGCTAGCAACTTCTCAATACATCAAGAGGCATCTCAGCTAGAAAGAAACGATACCGTCACATTACTTGACATATTTTTACATTGTACTCTATATTGCTCTCTCATTTTTTTTCTTCAAGTCAACATGTTTATCTTGGGTAATTCCCACATTTTCCACATTTCTATCATCTTTTTTTCAAATGTGCATGCCCTTTACTTGGGGGCAGTGTTTTAAAAAGCAAACCGCCCAGCACCTGGGCGGTCCAAAAGGCTTGGGTGGAGGCCTAGGTAGCCAAATTAGGCGCATATCCCTAGGCGCCCGGGAACCCGCCTAGGCGGCCGCCCAAGGTCAGCCCCCTGCCCAAGGGCGGAAATGTCCCTCGTTGATGGCATTTTTGGGTCTTTTGTTTTTTAATACTAAAGAGGGAAAATTGTGGGTTTTAAGTTCATTTGAAACCTAAAACCCATTAGAGCCTATTTTGGAGAGAGAAAAACCCCAAAAAACAATTTCTTTCTACTGGGCCGCCTAGGCTTTGGGCGGCCTGGACCTCCAGCCGCCTACCGCTTTTTGAAATACTGCTTGGGGGAAAAACTTTATATAGAGCTGATGCTCTAAACAATCAAATTAGAGCCCACCTCAGAAATTCACTAGAAGAGGTTGTTTTGATGCGCAAATATCCTCAAATTGATCATCTCGACATCAAAATGCATGGACATGAGAAAAAAATGGATTTCACGTTTTGGAAATAGTGCGTCTTGTAACGCATTTTGAACCGTCAATTTTCAAGATTTTCATAAATCTGCTCGATTTACAGTATTTTTTAAACTTCAAATTTTATAATTAAAGATGAAAATATATTTTAAGGCTATCGAAAAGATTTCGAGTATTGAAACCACATTTCTCGACACTATTTGAAGGTGCACTTTACTTTGATTGTTTAGAGCCTCGGCTCTATACAAACCACACTATGTGCCATTGTGCCTTGTATCAAATGTGATGTCAAAGGACTAATTTACAGACCAATACAGAAGAGGGGGGAACATCAAAGTCCCTCCTGGCTATGGTGTACACATCACAAAATTTTGGGCTGACATTTCTTGCAAATGCATCTGCTGCTTCTTTAACCTCCCCCCCACACATGCTTGAAGGGTACTCATTGTGAACTTGTAATCTCAGGAATTTGGTTAAAAATAGGTTCTAATCTCCAGGGAAAAAGGGATGTCCTAGAAGCTCAAGAAATTATATTCTGGGAATTCCCTTCCGGGAGGCAAAAGTGAACCAAGTTGGTGCCAAAAAGTTTCATGCCTTCCAATAAAGCCAATAACTCTGCTAACGTGGGGTTTGCTGTACCGATAGAGCTCGAGAATGAGTGCAAAAGCTGAGACGAGAATAGGCCCCTATACCATTCTAGTCCAGGATTGCTGAGGGAGTGGTCATGAAAATTTAATTTGACGACACCTGTCTACAGGAGGACCCAGATTTTTCATCTTAGAACAGTCATCACAACTTTGAGTTTGGAATGACTTTCCAGTTTCGCATGAAATCCACCGGTGCGAAAACAGAAACTCCATTGTTGACGTGATTCGATCCTTGCACCCTTCGATTTGAGATTCTTGGCTTTCAAATATCCTATTATTGTGCTCCAAACCAATGTCAAATCATTACTAATAAGGGGCATGCCTACGAAGAAGTCCCAAGGAAGGATATGGGGAGGAGAAATGCACCAAAAATAACTGTGGACCGTTTGGGGCATAACCCTCACCCAACCAAAGCACTAGAGAAATGAGGCCCAACATTGAGCCATGTATAAAGAAGTGATCTTTGGTTTCCTCGACCTCTTTACACATAACACAACAATTGGTAAGAGTGACTCTTTCTATAATAGATCACTCATGAGAGCGTTCTTGGACAAAACCACCCATTGAAGGCTTAGATTTTAGGGGGACCAAGAAAAAACTCGGGGTGCAATCGGGCCGATTCAGGTCTGGTTTGGGCCAGTCCTGAAGCCAACCCGACCTGTCCAAGGTCGATTGGACCTAGACCTGACAGGTTGGGTCAAGGTCAAAATATAATAACAAAATAAGAAATACAAAAATATATTACATATATCACTTAATATAAAACATATGTTTATATAGAAACTAACATGCAGGGTCGGGCCCGACCCTACCCGATGATGTCCAGGCTGAATCCGGACCTGACCCCACTCTTGAGTCCCCGTACTTTTGGACCCGGACCCGATCAGTCTAGTCTAAAAGCTGGAACTAAACCATGACTCAAGTCGGTAGGACCCACCAGGCTCACAGGTTGACCTGACCAAATCGACAACTCTAGAGAAAACCAAGCTTTGTATGCTATGACCAGGGTGTAGAGTCTTTGGTCGAGGGCATGGTAGAAGGATGATATTGAGAAAGAGTCGGCGGGGGTAGGAACTCACACCATTCCATCTCTCCCAAATTACGGAATGTGACACCCCCTCAGAAGATATAGCAAAGATGCTGGTTCAATTATTTTCGGATCCACTGGGTTCCTCCTTAACCTAGGGGTCCGAACCAACTGACCTCTCACAACTTTGTAAGATTGGCTGCATTGACTTTTTGGACCACAACAAATAAGTATAAACTTGGTGGAAAGAAGCTAAAGTAGACTCCCCTACCCTAATGTCCTTCCGCTGCCTGATCTTCTACCTAGATTAATAGAAAAATGGATACAAATCACGGATGAGACTAAAGAATCCCTTTTCCATGCTTCAGAGGAATTTGCATTGGTTGAGCCCTTGGATAGCCATCCAAAGTCATTTACCTGTATCTATGGTGGACAACATGCTGCCAAAGGTATCCTTCTGAGTTTGCAAAGTGGCACAACCACTAGCCAAGTAGCACAGTGTTACAATCTTTGAGGTTTCCATTGCTCAGACCCCTGCATCTTTTAGGTCTACAAACAACAAGTCATCCAAGGGGAACTTTTGTGCCACACCCATCCCTGAGCACAAAAAATTTCTCATCAGACTCTCTATGTGATTGACAATGACAATGGGCATCCTAAGTCTTAAAAAAATTAAATTTTAAAATTCTAAAAAATAAAATTTGTCAAAGTCATCAATAAGTAATCCGTCCATGAAAACTTTACTATACTAACATAATTAAGTCAATCAATTTTAGATGTCTCATGACTCTCATCCCAACATCCAAAGTTAAATACAACATAAGGCAAAAACAAAAAATGATTAAGGCATAATATAGTCGCTAGAATAATTCAAAATTAAATATAAGACATGGTAGAGTCATTAGAGTTAATCTAAAAGTAAGGAGTTTGGGAAGGTGCCCCGAGTCAGGTAGCCATGCATCGTCATCATCATCATCTGTGGCGGTGTCCTCATTATCTGTCTCTTTGAAAATCTCATGAAAATGAACCAAGTTGTTCAAGATTAATTCCACTACAATCACGCTTTTCACTTTCATGAGATGCAGTCATCATCTTCGAGTTCACTCATATGTAAACCAAGTCGGTTAATATAGTTAGCATCAATCTATTCTTTTTTTTAGTTAGTATTGCCTCAAAAGCATTCCAATTTCTTTCATATGCTAATGAACAAGAAAGATAAAGACTTTGTTGATAAAGATGTTGTTATATATTCATAAAATTTTGTCCAAAGTTTTTGTACCAATTTAGTGCAAAGAGATGAGTAACGTGGCATTGTGTAACAAACACCAAAATTGATACACGTATTTATCATATTAACAAATGATTGTGCATTGATAACATTAAATGCAATATTATTCATGATGAATGCACATGCAACTTCTTTATCAACAAAGTCTTTATCTTTCTTGTTCAACAATGATGGTAAATAACTTGTTGCAAATCAGAATTGAACTTTGATCAACATTTTGAGTGTACGATGTAATTTTATTCTTCTTCTGTGGAGGCTTAGAAGATACCTATGTGTCACTCATACAACCAAAGCTTGTACAATATCAGGTACTTGAGGGTAGGATTTTATATCATTCCCTTGTTCTCTTGAAAAATGACACTTGAATCTTGTTATCCCCGCAGAAAAGCCTTCACCACAAATTTGCAATACAATATGGGCATTGCAATTTTGCGTAAAATATTTTCAGTATTGTAAGATAGTTGACAACTCTTGGCATATTTTAAGAAGTTTAATTATTACAATTCTTGACATATTCTAAGAAATTTTATTGGAATATCAAATACCAATTCCCTTATATAGAGAATATTGATATACATGTCTTGTGGGTTCCACTAAATATGTATTTCTATCTTTTGCATTTTGATATTTCTAGTATCAAACTTGCTTATCGATATTGTCTTATTTAAAAAATAATAATTTGTATTGCAAATTTTGTGATGAAGGCTTTTCTGTAGGGATTACAAGATTCAAGTATCATTTGTCAAGAGAACAAGGGAATGATATAAGACCGTGCTCTCAAGTTCCTGAAGATGTACAAGCTTTGGCTGTATGTGCGACACATGAGGTATCTTCCAAGCCCCCAAAGAAGAAGAATAAAATCATATCATACACTCAAAATGTTGATCAAAGTTCAATAGGCCTAGGTAATTTTAATGCATCACTTGATGCCTCTACTAGCAATACTCATTTGCAACAAATTTTTTTACCAACATTGTTGAACAAGAAAGATAAAGGCTTTGCTAATAAAAAAGTCGTCCGTGAACAGTATTGCAATTAATGTTATCAACACACAATCGTTTGTTAATATGATAAATGCATGCATCAATTTTGGTGATGGTTACACATTACCAAGTTACTCATCTCTTCGCACTAAATTGGTACAAGAACTTAAGATAGAAGTTGATGCATATGTAGCTTCAATAAAGAAGTTGTGAGTTCAATCGGGATGCACTTTGATGTCAAAGTTGTGGTCGGATATGAAAAATCGGCCTTTCCATAATTTCGTTGTTCTTGTCCAAAGGGGTCAATGTTTATAAATGCATTTGAGTAATCTGAGCATAGAAAAACTGCATTATTTCTTCAAAAGGTCCTTCTTAAAGTCACTAAGGAGTGAGGTCCACAAAATATTGTTCAACTTGTGATTAACAATAGATCAAATTATGTAGTTGTTGGAGATATAATAGAATCGAAATTTCTTCATATTCATAAATCACGGTGTGCTGCCCATGGGATAGATTTGCTTCTAGAATATATTGATAAAGAAGTTACTTGGGTAAAAGATGTCATAAAGGGTGCTATGTTTGATAGTGGATTTTTTGTGTCGGAATTCTATTATTTTAGATTTAATAAGAAAGCACACAAATTGAAGGGAACTGAAAAGGTATGGTAAAACTAGATTTGCTGCTAACGTTTTGATGGTTCAGTCCATATTGCAAATAAAATAGGGTTTGAGATTGATGGTTGCATCTTCTAAATGGAGCACTTTAAGTTATAGCAAGAGTTAAAATGGGAAAAAATTCATAGAAATAATTCAAAGCTCAAAATTTTGGAATGATGCGATAGATATAATCACCACATCAGAGCCTCTTATTAAGGTGTTTTGTTTGGTTGATAGTAACGGGTCAACCATGGAAGGTACAAAGGGCAAAGGAAGTACTAAAGAAGAATTGTAATGGCAATGAATCTAGATATCTTGAATTGCTAAAGAATTTCGGAAAAAGGCGAAAGGAAAATACAATTCATCCCATTCATGATGCTGCTGCATTTCTTAATCCATCTTTAATGTAAAGTGGGTTTGTTAAACTTGAAAATCATGAAGTGAAGGCTAGCATTGCCTTGATTTCAGATACAATGATTTCCAAAGAGACAAAAATGCATTTTTTCAGAGTTGTTTAAGTATCATATTCAGGATTCAAATGTATTTGATGGTGTTGCAATGGGATTATTGTCAACAACTCATCCTCATAAGTATCTTCTTGACACGAGATTATGGACAAACACAAATAGAGACCAACACATTCCAGTGCATTCCAAAGCTTTACAAGCAAAGGGAATACATAACGAAAGTATATTTTTGTCCCATAATGATGTAGGAATAAGTAAATAACTGCTTTTTTGAGCAAAATCCTAAATTCAAAATCTCCAGATAATTAAGCAGTAAAATTCCAGCAACCAGGTGGATTTTGTAGGTCCTTGACAAAAAAAGAAAGGAATCACACATCACATCTGATTGATTCTTCTAAAGCAATGAAAGCCAAGGAAAGCAAGGCATGTAAGCCATTGTGCCAATGAATCGAGGCCATGGCCGCGTAATTGTCCGCGGACTGAAGAGATGTTATGGTCACACAACATTTCTGATGAAATCTAAAAAATCATGGACCTAAGTTCGACAATAAATATCTGTTTATAGATCCTAAAACAAGACAGAATATAACCTCACAATGTAGTTCAGGCTAAGTAGGAAGCACATAAAATTGATACCGAAAGTAAGGACAACCAAATTTCTGGGTACATAGTAGCAGTGTTACATCATTGATGCCCAAGAAATTATTGCCGCCCTCCCAAAACTTCCAGATACACAAACCTTTCTCATTCAAATCATGCATCACAATGTAAAAGAATATAATATAAATTCTATATAAACATTTGAAATAGCTTTTTTCCTTTTTTTTTGGGGGAGGGGGGGGGGAGGAGAGAGAGATTCATTATGCAAAAAATATAAGAATCAATAACGAAAGATAAAATGGGTATTTAAGAATCCACCTGTAGATGCTTGATGGCATGGCAATCCAGGGCCTTCAACAAACAAGAACCTACGAAGAACAGATTGTCGATCAAGGCCACAGAACAACAAATAAGGCTCGGCAGCCCTCGATTGGAGGGCACAGAACTTAATCTTTCGATGCTTGTCGGCTTTGATCACGGCCCGGACCCCTGCATTAAAAGATCTCTCCATTGAGAAAAAAAAAAACTATCCAATAGTTTCGAGAGCCCAAGCCAAAGAATCATGCCTTCTTTATACAATTTTATTCATCAAAATATTAGTTGGCTTTGGAGAATAAAAGCAAAGAATTTCCGATTCGACTGGGTATGGAGAATCAAAGCCAAAGAATATTGGGTTTTTCATTTTTGCTCAAAAACTATTGATTGGGTGTAGAGAACAAAAAAAGAAAAAAAAAGTTGGAATTTTTTATCATTTTTGTTGCGGTACCTCTGTGACAAAGATGACAGACGCCATCATAAATGACCACTCCTGGCTGTAAGAGGCCTGGTAGAGCTGCAACGCTTGGCGAGGAGCCCATGTATTGGTACATTGTCCTCGCCCATGGTCGAACAATCCCTCCACTCATAGATTGATATAAACACAGAGAGAGATTTCAAATAACCACTCGAGAGAGATTTCAAATAACCACTCGAGAGAGAGATTTCAAACAACCACTCGAGAGAGTGACCTGTACATCTGTAGAGAATCGCCAGTTCGACGAAGCGAAAACGATTAAAAGGGTTTCATTTTCACTCCATGGGAGCATCTCCAGTCCTTTACGCCAGTATTCCAAGTGCTTCTGAAAGTGCGTTTATGCTCCCAATAGAGCACTGTGTATATCTGTTCCGTTGGGTGAAAGAGCTATTTCAAAGGGCTATTTTAAGGAGATATAAAGAAGGAAAAAGTTTATGCAAGGATGCCACATCTTAATAATGTAGAACTACGGATGCCCCTTAAAAATCTATCGAAAAAATCGTTTTAATATTATAATAATATAGGACTACGGATGCCTCTCAAAAATCTATCAGAAGGTCGTCGTTTTAATATTGGAAATCCGTTTGATTTATAATCTCGACGTCAAAATTTATGACTATGGAAAATAAAATTTTTTTTAAAAAATATTCATATAAACCTCATTTTCACCTTTTAGTTTTTTTAAATTCAAAATTTCAAAACTATCTTCTAACCTCCGATAACTTTATCTATTATTTTTCCAACTTTTAACTCAAATAAATTAAAAAATACATCTTTTTTCTAACTTTTTCTAGCCATTCTGCTGCCCATTTTCACCATCCTTCACCCCCATTTCCGCCACCTCATTGCTCCCTCTCTCCTCCTCTCTCACTCCCCTTCCCTATTCTCCACCTATCACTTCCCTCTCCCTACTCTCTGCCCCTCAGTCTTCCCCTTCAGTCTTCTCCGCCAACTGTCAAACCCTTCTCACCACCCGAAATCAGGCAGCAACCTCGCAGCCGCGTCCTCCAACCCACCACCAGCTGCCATCGTCGTCACCTCACTGGCTTCCTCTCTGCAACGTCCCACTTTCTCTCTCACCTCACTGGGTTGCTTTCTCTCTAAGGTTGCTTTCTCTAAACTTTTATCTCTCTAAGGTTGCTTTCTCACCTCACTGGGTTCCAAGGTTTGATCAGGTCAGGGTAAGATAAAAGTTTTTTCCATCATGTTTTTGGCCAGAATTAGACCAGAAAGTGGGGCTCTACATGGATTCTTGATGTGGGTTTGGGTGCTTTGTTTAATTAGGCGCTGGTTTGATTCTTGAGTTTTTTTTTTTTGGTCTATTTATTGTTGTAGCTTCACGGATTTTATAGTGAAATTTGGGGGAGAATGGCTGGATTTTGGCTGGAAAGTGAGCACAATAGGCTGGTTTATAGTGGTGATGGGGAAATTCGCTGGTTTATCAGAGGTTTTCTTTTCTTGGGTTGAGCAGGGCGCCGGAATTTATTATCGGATGATTTGGCCAGAAACTTTCCCCGGAGAATGAGGATTGGTGATTTTCTTGAGGTGGGTTTTAGGGGGTTTGTGATTTTCTTTACCTGGAAAGCCTGAATGGCCGGAATTTTGCTGAGAATTGACGGAGGTTTTTGTTCCTCTATAACCACCAACGCCCCTTTTTCTCTCTCTAAGATCACCACTGCCGCTGTGTTGCTGCCCCTTTTACCTCTCTCTCTGTTGATCGGGCATTTTACTCTCGCCCTCTTGAGCAGTAGCCTCTCTCTCTAGATGGGGGATCCCAACAGCAAACCTGATTCACTACTGTGAATGCACCTTTCAAAGTATATCAAAACGTGTTCTCTTGAAGCGCTCTGTCACCAGTTTCGGTGCCGCAAAATTATGGCCGGAGGTTTGAGAGGTCGATAGGGGGAAAGAGAAAGGAAATCATGACGAGAGAGGGCTTTAAAAAACATTGTTTTTTACAAATTTGTTTGGGCCAAAACATTTAATAAAAAATAAATAAAATATGTTTACGTTAGAAGATATAATAAAGTGAATTTTTACGTAGTAAGATAGGTTTTACAACTTCAGGAGAAAGGAAAAATGAAAGTTGAAAATAAAGTATGTGGTGATATTTTCTCAAGATTTTAAGTCTTATAAATAGTAAATTTTATAACATATTATCTACACCATTCATTTCAAGATTGTGATATGTTTATAGATCAACGTGATTTTAACTA